CATGAAAATAATCATCCAGGCTGAGGTGGCTCCAGCAGTGCAGGTCTCGTAGTTGAAGCCTTTTGTCAGAGGATGATTCATGGATGTCCTTGGTCCTGTCTCCTTGTCCTCTCTCAGATGACATGGCGTCCTCAGTACCGCAGCTCTAAATTCCGCCACGTGTTTGGAAAGGCTGCCCCCAAGGAGAGCTGCTACGATGGCGTGCCGATCACACGCAGCGTGCAGGACAACAACTTCTGTGCCGTCAATCCTCGGTTCCTCGCCATCATCACCGAGTGTGCCGGTGGAGGAGCCTTCCTGGTCCTGTCCGTTAACCATGTGAGTGTCAGAGCTTCACACATTCACACACCGGCAGACTTTTAACAAATGTCTGCCCAAACATGAAAGTTGACACGTCTGTCTCAGTCTTGTTTTCATCAAGGATTCAGTCGGTGTCATGTGAACGTTGTTCGTTGTGTTGACGTCAGCTTTTACCGAATGGTCTGAATGTTCATGAATGTTCATGATGTCTACGGTGATCCACGTTTCTTCTGTTCATTTTTCAGCTCAGTTCTCGTCTCGCAGTTTTCATCTATTCCAACAAATCATAAATCAAAACATTCGGCTCTTTCAGGACAATCCTGCTGTGACTTTTGGTATTGGTGCAACTTTAGCTTTTTGAAATATTTAGCCTTTTCTGACATTTTTTCTCTCATAGAAAAAGAACTGAGCTCATTTTACCTCCTTCAGATCTTCAGATCTTTAGATGTGTTTACAGCCTTTTACTGCTCCTTTCACATTTTGTTCTGCTTCAGCTTCTTTCAGCTTCCTGCTGAAAAATTAAACTTTTTTCAGCTACTTTCATCTAATTTCAGCTGTTTTGTGCTTCTTTCAGCTCCTTTCTCTATTTTCTGTTCAGTGCCCTGAGACGACTTCTGTTGAGATTTGGCGATATGTAAATAATCTGAAATGAATTGAAATGTAAAATGTTTGTGTTCCTTTTAACTTCTTTCTGCTAATTTCAGCTTATGCTCCGTTCAGCTGATGTCTGCAAGTTTCAGCTTTTTCTACTATATCAGATACTATTCAGCTAGTTTATGCTATTTAAGCTTTTTCAGCTAATTCCACATTTTTTGCACTCATTTCAATGTTTTTCAGCCTAATTCAGCAAAGATGTGCTCTCTCCACTTCCTTCTTGTAATTTCAGCTTCTTTCTGCCTTTTAGCTACTTTTCAGTTGTTATTGCTTATTTCAGCTGTTTTCATATAATTTCTACTTTTTGTGTTTCTTTCAGCCTAATTGGGCAAATGTTCTTTCTGCTTTCTTCTGCTAATTTAAGCTTGTTTTTACTCCTTTTTTAAAGTATTTTTTGCTATTTTCAGCTGTTTGCAGATTAATTCAATTTTTTGTGGTAATTGTTGCAACTTTCAGCCTAATTAAATTATTTATGCTTATTTTAGCTTGTTATGCTCCTTTCAGCTTTATCAGCTAGTTTCAGCGTTTTCTGCGATTTCAGCTACTATTTAGCTGTTTTATGCAAATTTGAGCTTTTCAGCTAATTCCACATTTTTGAGTTCATTTCAGTGCCTCCACTTCCTTCTAGTAGCTTAAGCTTCTTTCTACCTTTACGGCTACATTTAGATGTTTTTTTTGTGCTAATGTTAGCTTTTTTCAGCTGATTTCCTCATTTTTATTTTGCTAATTTCTACTTATTTAAATCTGATTCAGCAAATATGTGTTCTTTATTCTTTCTTCTGCTAATTTAGGCTTGTTCTTCCATTACAGCTACGTTTCAGCACGTTTTAGCTAATTTCAGCTGTTGTTTAGCATGTTTTTCTGCAATAAGCATTCACACTGCATTTTCGCACCTAGCCCCATCATTCATCCAGTGCCATGTAAGTCCCATGTGATCTATGCACTATGCGGGTAAGTACATAAACACGTCATGTGTAGCGCTTTGACCCTTGACTCGGCTCTTTCATGCTGGCACATTCTGTCAATTTAGGTATTTAATTAGTGCCAACCACTGTTTTCTAGGTGATTGATATGGGGCTGTCAGAAATCATTTGAGACACTAAAATAAAGTATACTACAACAACTAGTCTAACACTACAGTACTATTAAAGCTAGATAAGCTGACACTGAACCCCATGCTGAGTTACACAGCAGTGATGTCATCAGTGTGTCCTGGTTGTCTGCACACATGCACTCTTTTACAAGTTTCCATCACCGTCCTAATTTTAGTCTAAGAAAGGTAATAATGGCTTTTTTTAATCTACAGCCACAGAAACCTAGATCACTATTTAAAAATGATGTCTTTATGTTGAATACCCTCAGAGATATTATTTTAATTCTGCAGTGGCCTTTTTGGAAGCCATCTCAGTAATTGGATTACATTATTATGGTAATAAAAATAAGATTCTTCATAAAATCTGCTTGCGAGCTCTTTTCTGTGCCGGCTTTCATGCTTGTGTCACCATTTGAACGATTCCTATGAAATATGGAATAATCTGCTGCACTATGATAATGATCTTTTACAAACGGTCTCATCTTCTGATGTTATTCTGTAACAATGAATTCTCCAAAAGGAAAACATCCTCAGGTTTCAGTTTGGCTCCAGATCTGATCAGACCTTCATCTTCATATTGTCACCACTCTCCTGGCAAGATCAGAGATAATTTATGAGCTCAGGAATGACGTAACTCATCTTATAACACCCCCCCCCACACACACACACACACACACACACACACACACACACACACACACTCCTTTCTGTCTGGAGGAGATATACATTTTATGTTTTATTGCTCATCTGTGTTATTTTGCAGAAACACCATTCAACACATAGAAACAACAGCTAAACGTATTTTTATCAGCCACCACCTAAAAGGAGATAGACGAGTTATAACACATTTATCTGTGTATCTGTTTACAAAATTACTCATGAACCTCGATTAATTTTAACAAAAGTCTCTGAAATTAAATCTTGGATGTAACGGATTAACTTTTGGAGTCAACCCAATTCAAGATGGCCGCCCCAGCTAATGAACCTTAATGAACACAATTTAAGTCTGTCGGTTTTACAGATAACGAGCTAAAACTTGATGGGGTGGAAGCTGAGCGTCAGTCATAATGTGTGTGTGT